GACAGACTGAGTACTTTTTTCAAACTTTTCCGGTTTTCTTTGTTTTTCCACAATGAGTCAGGGATAACACTCTCAGTCACATTTCCCCTACTCAGCAATAATATATGCATGCCCATTCCCACCCCAGGGATGCCACGAGAGAAGTTTCCCAAAGCACCAGTAATAACGTTATAGAATCATCCCCCTGCCTCCCTGTCGTACGTGAGGACTGTGCCGACTGACTGGCTTAACGTCTTGGCGCTGTGGTTCTTGCTGTGCCCGTGGTAAGAGAGAGGAGTATAAGCCAATGTGCTGACAACCATTTCATCATTTGCTCCCCAATAGGATCTCTGGCCTTTGTCTGGGGTAGGCAGTTTCAGATCTGTGGTGAAAAAACACGTTTCTTGACTTGGGCCGTCCAAAACAAAACCCAATCCATTTTTACAGGTGGCAACTTGAGTGACTTTTGCTGCTAGCGCAGGTGGTGTCAGCTATACTCCCCACCATATTCCCCTCCCACCTCTCATTAGTCTCCTGAGCCTGCAGGGTCACTCTGAAACTCCGCCATAAACAAGGGAGGACTTCAGTTCCTCCTCTATCTGCACAGGCCCAATTAAGGAGCATGATGGACAGAGATGCCCCTATACTGGAGACCGTTATGGGCCATGTGGGTGAAGGACCTGCTTTCACGTTTATTCTTTTTTCTCACCTCTTCTTGAATTTCAAGACTTTAAGAATTAAAAAAAAAAAGCACAATTATTTGCTTTGAACTGCCACTAAAAATAAGAAATTAAAATTTCAGGACCTGTACTAGAGACTTACATTCTGGTGAGCTCCTGGGGATTGATTAAAGCCATTTGAGGACATGGAAATGTGCCTACAAACACCGATGTGCTTTACTGATGGATGAACAAAAGGACAAATGCTCACTCTGGCATTCTGTGATAATAGCAGTATGGGGCATAATGCAGAAATAATGTAATAACAATTTGGATGTATTTGTGGCTTTATTAAAATAAATATTTTCAATATCCTGCATAAAACTAAACATGGTTGCATGGTAGTCAAAATCTATATAATTATGTATCTATTGATGCCAGAAGAAGGTAAAAATTCCCATGAAGATATTGCAAACACCTCAAAATGTGCAAGTGTTCAAACCCTGGAAGTCTAGTATTGACAAGACACTTGGAAAAATAGATGGGGACATAATTATGCAAACTGGAATCTGCTTTTAGAATCACCAAAAAATTCCAGTTGTGATCCTGGGTTACAACACAGAGCACTATCAAAATCAACAGATAGTAAAATGTCTAATGTTTAAATATTTTACTGTGGGAGCAGAAAAGTCAAAAAGCAAGGAGAGACTAAACTCACTTTTTGTGAGGTTGCACACACCTGAATCAACTGATTCTTACTTTCTATCCTGAACTGCTGCTTCCTCATTTCAGATAAAAATAAGGCCATTGCAACAGGACAAGCCCCAACATCATTCTGTAGGCACAGCAAAAGCAGTGTCATGTTCTGAGAAATGTAATTTCCAATGGATGTTCACATTTCCCAGATTTTGAATCAAAATAGATTCTATAGGGGGAAAACTATGAAAGCAGTATAGAAGTTAGGGAACTTTGAAATCATCTAATCTATTTCTCAGCCCCAAGTAAAGCGGGCTACAGATTTAAACCACTTCCTGGCAGGTATTACTATACATTTTCAATGACTGATAATCCCCAGTCTTCCTTGGCAATGGATTACACTGCTATCTATACCTTTTGATGAGATTTCTTCCCCTCACATTTATCTTGCTCTTATTTAAGGCCATTCTTTTTGTCCGTTCAACTGTGTAGAAAGATCAGTCTATTCCTTCCCACTGCGGCTATCTCTTTAAATACTCTAAATTATTATGCATTCCCCTTTCTGCCTACTCTAGACCAAAAAATCCTAATTCCTTCTGTCTGCCCTGAATAGCCATGTTTCTCAGAACTTGTTTCACTCTTTTTGTTCTTTTTTGGGCCCTCTGAAACCAACGAAATGTACATAAAAATGAAAAGTTAGAGATGTCTGAATCTCACATAAAAGTAGATTTAAATAATTCTGTTTAAAACACCACCATTCTAACACCTCAGCTTCTATACAGCGCTTTCACTGGAAGATAGGCAAGCTGTTTACAAGGGAGGCGAGGCATACGCTCATCCTTACAGGCAGGGAAACTGAGGCACAGCTGAACGTCTCACTCAAGGCCATCAGGGACGCCTGCCCCAGACAAGAATGGAAACCTGTCAAGTTGCTTACTGAGCTGCTCTGTAACTTTACCGCATGTCACAACACATCACCTGAAGACAGCATGCCGAAACAGTTAAGGCTGTTGAGATTTTTAACTAGAGTATACATTATATTTTTATAGTTTATTTTTATAATTTCTTCTTTGTCTTTCTCTTTTAAGAGTCAGAGTCCATCCATTGATTCTTTTGAGGTATCAGACCTATATTTTGGGATTACACTCTACTGCTGCACCTACCTCCCAGTAACTTACTGACCAATTTGTGGCTAAACATTCTTTTCACAGACCATCCCACTCCTAAATTTTCTGCTGCGTAATCCTTTTCCTAAGCTTTGCTTCTGAAAGCAGTCCAAGTCCTGTAGTTCTCCCCAGGTTAAACTATAAAATTATCAGTTTTGCATTTTTTTCCATGTCACAGCATGACTGATGTTTTTATCCTTACGAATAGCCCCTTAAATAATCCATAAAACCTGTATCTGATGATCTTAATCCCTTGCTTGTAACCTCCTCTAGGCAAAGCTTAGTAAACCCCAGTAGGTTTCTAAGCTTGCAGTTTGCCAGTGAGGTTGGATGCATGTCAAGTTTTGTGATATTTCTACTGTAACTTCAGTAAAGCTTAAGGTGCCAGGAAGATTATGGATACCATATGAATCCACAGCCAAATTGACCTATAGCTTTTAGGAACACAAAATAAAAATTGAAGGAGCAGCAGTGTTTCCCACCTTGTCTGCTTTGCTCTATTAAAAAAAGCACATGAAAAGACTCAACTTTTCAGCATAACCTATGCTTTTACATCAGCATAAAAAGAAACATGAACCCTGAGGGTCTACAGGCAAGTAATGCCAAATGACAAGTTGCTGTAAAGGTAAACGTCTCATTTTCATTTCAGTCGAGTATTAAGAGCAGACTATCTGTGATTTATTTTACTGCTGAACAACAAACATTTGGCTACTGAACCTGGGTGTTTCCAGTGTACCTTATTTATCTACTCATCGTTCAGGCAGACAGGGAAATGCCTTTTCCATCTATTGGACGTTTTGAAGATTTCAAATATTTTCCAGTCAAAAAGAGAAAGAAAAAGCCCCCAGGGACATTTATTTGAGATGTAAAAGACTCAGTTTCAAGTCTGTGCCCTGATTTCCATCACAGACCTGGTTCTGAGTCTTCTGCATGCCAAATCAGTGCCTGAGAAAGGGACACAGACAGTAACTATAATAGAGGAGATGGAATTATCCACAGCACTTTGCTGCTTTTACCAGCCCAATGGCACAAACTGCTTTATTGCTGACGCAGTTAGCCAGGGGCATGTATTACTTTGTAGAAGTGCATCTCAGAGTATGGCAAAGGGGTTATGTCCCCTCTGTTCTATACCAGCACAGCTAGCAATGGCATGCTGAGATCAGCTGAATGCACAGGCAAGCTCGTGGTCGGCTTTCTCTGCTCTCACAGCCCACTGGGTAGGACCATCTGGCTCACAGGGCTTATTATCCAGTGTCACCTGCACTTCTGATAACTAAACTTTTATCAAGAAGAACTAGCACAGACTAGTCTGTGGGTCTTTGGGTCTTAATGTTCTACTCAGCAGGCACCAGCTCAAAACAGCTGTAAATTAAGCCGTTTTGATGGGTTTACTTCATGCTGAGGATGGCAGCCACACGGCCCAGGACTGTACACAGCACATGGGCACAAAGGCCATCAGCCAACTGAGCCATGGATGGGAGCTGGGGCCTAAGTACATTTCTGGCTAAACGGTTTAATGGAAATGGAAAACACCTATTAAAGTGACATGAAGCTGGAAACTGCTACTGCACAGCTACTACATTGTTTTTTCTCTAAATAAAAAGTGCAGGGTTGGTTTGCCTTTTTTTTTTTTTTAACTGCACTTTTTATTTAGAGAAAAAATAAAATCAAAGAAACTACAAACTCTCTATATAAAACATCCTTTTTCCAATGGCAAGTCTGTAACAGCAAAACTACCCATCTGATATGGAATTAGCTGAGAACTACGAGCTCCTCCAAAATTTTCTTATGCTCCAGAATAAACTCCAGAGGTTTTTTCCAGCAAAGCAGCTGGAGCTCCTAAAATATTTTGCACTCTAGTGGTTAGGAAAAGACATTTAGTAAATGAAATCTCTCATTCATATGTTTAAAGAAAACAGTCAGTTTGTGTTATGTTACTCTCTGCTCAAGTGTCACTACAGACCATGATGGTAAGTTTAAACTGATTGTTCTTTACAGTGTATTATTATCTTATGTACATATAGCTTGCTAAGGAATGGTTCTATTATTTGATTCATAAAACAGTGTAAAACTAATTAGTCCAAAGCTATAAAATAGCTGTAGTGTGCTTGAGTGAATGGTTAGTGAATACATAACATACAGGCAAAAACATTACTGTGGAAAATCAAGAACTACATGATCACTCACAGTATTCCAACAGCCAGAAGAATTCAAAACACAGGTAAGTATTAACAAGGTAAAAGCAAAGGAAAGGCAGAATGAAAGAATTCCAAGTACAAAGTCAAAGAAAGAATAATGACAATGAATAACAGCAAAATTATATTAAAAAAAAAATTGGCAGTTGCAGAAAATATGACACAACCTATCAAATTACAACACATCACTTTCATCAAAATACTATGTTGTACATAATTCAGTCATATGTAAGCACAATCTTTCGTTATCAAGACTCTGGCTCCTAGACCCTTTATTTAAGTGAGAAGATAATTTGCTGACTTACCTTCTTGCTGCACGCACATAATATATATGGTGAACAAGCAGAGACAGTGCTGCAGCTTCCATTTCCAGTGATAGCACCACATTTCACTCACATGAGACATCCTGTAGGGAAAAAACAAGAATTCAGAGAGCTTTACAACAAAATGCGGGGGCCCATCTGTGCTGTCAGTGAAGCCAGGCACATCTTTATTATTTAACAAATGCAATTATATAAAAATCTTTATTATAGCTTGAAGTTTCCTTTGCCTTGAAGCATACAAGACATTTAATGGCTTTTAACCATGTATCCCAAATGAGTGGTGCTCCATTACATTCCCATCTAATTTTATTCAACAAGCTAGCAACAAGCAACAGCAAGCAACAAGTAATGAAACACAACAAGCGTTATTTTGATCGACTCCTTCCCCTCCTGTTTGGCAATGATAACTGGCTTTTGTTCAGTAAGATATTATCCACTTATACTGGGAGAAAAATCTGTAACAGAATCCCTAAAATATTTCACAAGTCTATTCCCAGGAACAGTGTGTGAAGAACCACAAATGAATAGTCATGAAGAAACATCGATGAACACAAAGGTCTTCCAGGTAAATACATATTAAATACAGGGAGGGAAAAAAAAAAAAAGGTAGATATTTAGAATGGCCACCAGTGTGATTTATCAAGACAGAAATGTGAAAGAGGTAAGTGAAAGAAAGCACAGAGTTCAATATCAAAGCCAAAAAAAATTAAATTTCTTAAAACTGGGAAAATCGCCTTCCTTCTTCCTCACAGACATTGCTGTGAGCCCAACAGTGAAACCTGGGGGCAAATCAAAGCCCTTTCCCAGTAGCAGCTTCTGTTTCTTCCCAAAGTGGAGTTCTGTAATGTAGACAAGCCAAGCTCAATGCAGCAAGATAAACCTTTGTAAAGGAGCAACTAATGTTTCAGTTTTAAAAGTAGTAGTTCATCAAACCACTCCTGTGGGCGAGATGCCAATGGGCCCAGGTGAATGGCACTTCAAGAGACGGCTGCGATCAGCTTGGTTTCCCTTCAGTGCAGCATTACATAGCACAAGTATCTGATTACAAAAGAAGTCCAGTTCTTTATGGGCAGTTGTATCAAATCAGGAATCTGAAGCTGATTTATTTTTCTGAGATATTGTAAAGTCAAACTTAACAAGTGTTGAAGACAAGCACAGAAAACACTGGGCTCTGAAATACAAGAATCTCTTTGATGAAGCCAGACACACAAAATAACCAGATTATCAAACAATAGAATTATTGTCCTTCAACTTAATGACCCAAAAAACCCTATTAAAATCTCAGACAACAGAATGCTGAGTTTTGGGAACAGTTACTGTTCAACGCATATAATTCGTAAATACACCACGCCCTTAATATTCATTTAGAAAACTGACTTCGAACAGAAGTTCTTTTAAGACATGAAAACAGTTATATGCAGATGGAAACACATACAGCATGCCTATATACTCACAGAGTGGTGGAATGGAAATGCTGAGGATAACAGCATAACACAGCAGACATACAGAAGAATACTGCTGTTTCTATAGAAGAAAAGAGTTTGCACCTACTGCTGAGATAAATGCAAGCCTCCTGCATGACCTACCAATGCAAACCTGTAGAAGTGGTTGTGTTACTGGGTCTTGTTTGTTGGTTTGTTTTGAGCAAGCACAGTTAAAGTTATCAGACTAGGAAACAGTCACAAATAATTATCTATTAATTCAGAAGAAATGTGTTAGTTTTCAACACATTGATACATTTTCTGTATGTTATAGCAATCATTGCTTTTGATGTCTCTGTGAAATCAGCTGAAGTTCTTGCTCACTGAATAGCTGAAGAATCCCAGGCACAACTGTTGAGATACTCAAGGAAAAATAACATGACAAGCTTCTGCTGCCTAGGTCTGGAGTGACTCTACCCAGTCACATTGCCTTTAGTGCCTTTCTTAGAGAATCTGAGAATCTGCGTTAGTCAGAGAGCTGTTTAATTTGGCCAATCAATTTCAGTTAATGTTTACTGGCATTGCGGTAACACTTACAAGCCAGTACTCCCCCGTGTTAGTTGACAGTCTGTTTTCTCATCCTCGCTCTTGTAAAGAGCACAAGTCAAGAAAGATTTTGAGAATATGGATAATCAACAACCAGGCAGAGCATAAATAAGTGTGAAAAACAAGGCAGAAAGGAGTAAATATGAAGATTTTTCTCTGGGGAAAAAGGCTAGATAATTATACAAATGCTATAAAAAACATACAATTCTCCACCAAAGTAAACAAATACGTAAAAAATAGCAAACCTGTCTCCTCCACTTGCATTAGCTACTGCTGAAGGGCAAAACCCCAGTTTTCTTTACACCACATCATCTCAGTTGACAAGAAAGCAAGAGATTTCAAATTCAGACAAGAATGAGTGCGGAAGAAGCACACTACCAAAACGCTCCACTAATGCAGGCATCATGAGTCAGATCTGCTGCTTTTGGACAGGACTTTTGAAGATCTATATTTCAAAGCATAACCTCTAGCCGAGTGCTATGAGTGAGGAAGTCAGTTACTGACATGTTCTTGAGATCTTGCATACATAAAAAGCCATAATTCAGAAACCTTACCGCTCACAGCATTACACTGTCATGTGTGTAACACCCCTGTTCACACAAGTAGTTGTCTGGGATGGGAGCCAGCTAACATGTTCCCAACAAAAAGGATTCTTCCATACCAAAATCCATCCATGATATTTTTATCATGTGACATCCCAATTGGCAGACAATCACAAAAAGGAACCACAGCAACTGGTAAATACTTCCCAGGCATTAAAAAATCCACCTTAATAGCTGATATTATTCACCTGTTAATACCCACCATGTTTATATTTATTTTAATTTGTTGATTATTAGTGTTAATTAACATCTAAAACCAAATCCAAACAGTATATGAATAATTCAACAGAAAAATTAGAAAACAGTTCTGGGCTAGTTTATAGCTTATCAAGGGATGATACGGTACCCTGCTACAACAACACTAACTTAATGACCCAAGAGACCCCCTTTGGGCTTGTGTCCCTGTTTTAAATAGTATTAAAAGGATGTGTTCTCTCACTTAATATTCATCAATTACACAGAGAATGGCTATCAGTACAGCAATGTACTGAAACACACCAAGAGTCTAAGTAAGCAAAGCAGTCCATAACAAAGATCTCAGAACATATGTGGATTATTTCAGACTTTAACCCTGGCTACATTAAAATTGTTGAACACCGTTCATAGTGGATTTTATTCTCTTTTTTGTTCCAATTTAAATGAACAAGCCCTGTTCTGTCCCCAGCTGGTAACATGCTAGCAGCTCAGAACAAATAATTGTAAACTGTCAAACACAGAACCAAAACAGCATCTTATTCAATATTTTTGGGGACTATTAGGACACCTACTGTAGAAGTACATCCATTATATTGTGTGTAGTCTCACAACAGCTATCAATCTTTTTTTTTTTTTCCACATAAAAAAGAAAAAATAGAAAGTGGCCTTCTGTAGAGTCTTATAGAAGAACTACTACTTTTTTCTATAGACTGGCATTATTCCATTGTAGACACTGTGTGACATGACCAGCTATGCACTCTAGCTACTAATTCAATACAGTGCAGTCCACAGCCACTTTCATTCTCTATAACATGGGGAGACAATGAGCTTATTCACAATTCATTCCAAAAGAGCAAAATAGACATGTAATTTATCTAAAGCATAAATGGATGGTAACTTGACATTGTTCAAGATGAAATTAGTGCCAGTCTTGCTACATCTAACTATTAAACCTCTTACTCTACATGCCATCAGCCAGCTACCGCAACATTGTCCCCTTTTAGGAGATACACAGCTCTGCAAAAAATACACACAACATGGGAATAATCCTGGAGCATTTCATTTGTATACAGTATAGTCTCAAAACATGCAGTACATATTTGAATACACCATCTTCCTTGTTCAAAGTTTCGGCAAAGTTCCCTGGAGTAGGATGTGAATTCTGCCCCAGGCAGGCTGACATGACTTCCTTTGGTCGTGTCTAAAGCTATTAAGGAAAAATGTTGCTGATGCTTTAAAATTAAAAGAAAGATAACATCAATGTCACAACTATTTTCTCATATACGCTGTAAACAAAAAGATTTTAAGCTTGATGGCTCTGAAGTGGAACTACAAGTGAAAGGTATTACAACTCACAGTTTAGTTCCTGCAGGTTACCAGCCAATTTTAAATTTTTAAACACTTGCTTTAAAATGTAGTACACGAATGTCTTGAAAGGTTAATTACACAATACCACTTAAAACTTTAATTTTGTTAAATTGTTCCTAATTATTCTTACAGTCAGATCTGAAAAAACCCTCAAGCTCATCGAAAAAGATGGAAAAAACCCCAAACACTGCCTTTTAATTTAAAGGGTGCCAGCTGTATCAGATCCATCTTAGTCCCTCGGCTTTCCTTTCAAAGTGAACTTTCCCTAGTCGTAGGCGACTAATCTGCTGGCTGTTTGCAACTCCGTAGCACTGCAGCACTGGGTTCCTCCTCATTTCTGCCTTCAGTTCACCGCGCACTGCCCGAAAACCCTACCCTTGAGTCCCCCCAGCTCCAGACACAGGTCCCCTCTCTGCCCCGGCTAAGAACGCACCGACGAAACGCCGAATCCCAAACCTTCCTCAGTGCCCTGCCTTACCTTCGGTGGGAGACTCTCAGCAAAGGCAAAACATACCGGGGACGGCGCCCAGAGGCCGCAGCAGTGGCCCGCCCGGGGCCAGGCGGCGTACGGACAGGAGGGAGGGGAGAGC